AAAAAAAAAAGATTATTAATCACACTTGTAATGAAACAAATGCATATTATAATAACAATGAAAAACTATTTCTCTTCTAGCAGGTTGATACACAAATCACATTTGATAATACAGTGTGGGTGGGTTATGGAGGAAAAGGCAAGATCATGTCATATCAGAGTGATGAGTGATATATACATATATATATATATTTTTTTTGAGATAGGGCCTCACTCTGTTGCCCAGGCTGGTATGCAGCGAGTGGCACAATCTCAGATAGAGAAGTGAATACTTAGCTGTTTTTTGTGTTTGTTGTTTTAAACAGAAGAGGCAAGTGCAGTGTATTCGAGAGCGCAGGCTCTCTCCTGAGCCCCATCCAAGCTCAAACTCCTGTTTCAACACTTAATAGCTACATAATTTCAGACAAGTTACTTATTTCAGAGTGCTGCACACCCAGGAGATAATAACACGTGTTGAATGAAAGAATAAATTAAAGCATGAATAAACCAACTGGATCCACCCACTTGAAAAAATGACTTCTGTAAAAAGGCACAAATCACCGTCATGCACAATTGCAGTATATTTGAGAGCAGAGGCTCTTAAACCTCCACCTCCTGGGTTCAAGCGATTCTCTCATCTCAGCCTCCCTAGTAGCTGGGATTACATGCATGTGCCACCACACCTGGCTAATGTTTGTATTTTTTGTAGAGATGAGGTTTCATTACATTGCGCAAGCTGATCATGAACTCCTGAGCTCCATCAATCCGCCCTCATCAGCCTCCCAAAGTGCTAGGATTGCAGGCCTGAGCTACTGCAACCTTTGGAAGACACTGAAAACTCTTTGGATGACAGTTTGTTATATTCCTCAACACTGAAAAATACACATCTAACTTCACCCAGCAATTTCGTGGTTGAATTTATCCTAGACGGTTATATTCCTAGTTATGCACAAAGCATGAGGATATGAAGAATGCCCAGTCAGTGAAGGAAGAAACCACAGCCGCCTTGTTGACTGCATCTTGTGTATGACTAGGCAAATTGTAGAGTCCAAAAATAATTGTTGAATGAAGGTATGAACAGCAATAAGACCTAAGTCCAGTATCAGGTTAGATAAATTTAAATATAGTCTAATATATCCATCCAGTAGAATAACAGCAGCCCAATAAAGAGTAAGATAGATGTATACCAGTTGATATGGGATGCTCCCAGTCCAAAGACAGACAAGAAAGGCAAAATAGAGGTCACACACAAACATCCTTGTGCAAGCACAGACTGTCTAAAAAGATAAACAAGAAATGAGTAACAGTAAGCAGCCTCTGGGTATGTAACTGACAAACTAAGGTTTGGGGTAGGGAGCTTTTTTCTCTTAGAAAGTTACTGTTAGAGGCTGGGAACGGTGGCTCACGCCTGTAATCCCAGCATCAGGAGGCCAAGGAGTGTGGATCACAAGGTCGGGAGTTCGAGATCAGCTTGATCAACATGGTGAAGCCCTGTCTCTACTAAAAATACACAAAAGTTAGCCAAGCATGGTGGTGCGCGCCTGTAATCTCAGCTACTTAGGAGGCTGAGGCAGGAAAAGCACTTGAACCCAGGAGCTGGAGGTTGCAGTGAGCCGAGATCTAGCCACAGCCCTCCAGCCTGGGTGACAAGAGGGAAACTCCGTCTCAAAAACAAACAAACAAAAAAAGATAAAAGAAAAAAGAAAGTTACTGTTAGAAACTTACTTTGCACATTAAGGATTTTTGTTGTTATCTAGATTATTTTAACCATAATTTTGCTTAAGTTAAAAGCAACCTCAGGCTGCTCTGCCTCTATGGAGTAGCCATTCTTTTGTTTCTTTACGTTCTTAATAAACTTGCTTTCACTCTAAAACAAACAAACAAGAGAAACCCTCAAAAACTTCACATTGAGACACACTGGAATTCTGTACTATATAATATCTTTCCTGCGAGGCAGCTGTGTGACACTGCGCAAGCCACTTAGAGAAAGGGCTAGATCTGGTCCACCTGCTGAATGCTTTCTATGTGCCAGGCACTGTGCTGGGTACAGCTTGTTCTGTTAAACTGGTTAATGTTCAGTCTTCCCAACCAATCAGTGAGGCAGGTATTTCCATCTTTATTTAACAGATAAGGGCGCTGAACCTAAAGCGATAGAACTCAAGGTCTCATCCCTCTTTCTGATTCGTATCTTTCCATCAGCCCTTCTTTCAAAGGGCTGTAACGTACCTGGAAACACAAAAGAACTGCCGCGACTACATCCCGGACTCCAAGTATACTGGGTTGCTTTACTGTCTTGACACTTAAGTATTACTATTAATAATACCATGTTGCTACTATATGGCTTCAGAACTCCAGTTTTACCAGCAATTTCATGTTCCCCGCCAAACGGAGTTAATCTGGTCACATGTGATAAGTCTGAGCTTCCAACTTCGAAGCTGTTACTTTGTTTTGTACCACAGGCTTTCCTCCAGGGAGAGTAAGGCATTTCCTCTAAACTTTGCAGGTTCAGGAGATTCATCTAGGGCAGGAGTTCCCATGCTTGAGATCAAAAGGGCCATTATCCCAAGGCTCCTACACTTTCTAGGTTTCTCGTTTCCATGACCCAGAGAAACTGGAGGGACCAGCACTGGATTCTCGGAAAACCTGCAGCCACAGCGCCCACGCCGGGTGGTTGGGGGCGCGTTCCTCGCCAGGGTCCTGTCTGCACCTTGGGCTTCGGCAGGGGTCCGGGAGACGGGTCGTTGGGCTAGGAACCGGGGTGCGCGCTGCCGAGCGCCCGGAGCACTCACGCTTACCCGCCAGGCCAGGTCCAGATCGAAATCCCGGGCGCGCAGGAACCGCAGCAGGAAGGAGTCGGTGAGCGGCAGCGGCGCGAGCGGGACGCCCGCTTCCCGGGCCCGGCGCCGCAGCTCCGCCAGGCCGGGCTGCAGCAGCGGCGAGTGGTCCGGCAGCGCGTTGAGCTGCTGCCCCGCCGAGGGTCGGGACCGCGCTTCTGCCATGCCCGCCGCCGCCGCCGCTGCGGCCGCAGTTACCCCGGCGCCCGGGAAAAGCGCGCGCCCCGCGCCACCCCCGGCCCCGCCTCCGCGGCCGCTGCCCAGCGCACAACCACCCTCCAGCCTGGCAGGGCGGCCTCGGGCCTCGCGCACCCAGCCCGCAGCGGGCAGAGCTGCCTCTTAAAGGAAACCGCATAGTGTCCCCACGGGTGCAAACCACCTGTTTACAGCTTTGGCTAGGAACCCCCGCCTTTTCCCAGCGAGGGAGGCCGCTGGTGTTCAACACCGAGGTCACGATGTCAAAGTTAGCTGGGATGTTTTCTACCAACTGCGAGAGAAACTTTCCTTTTTCCTTTCTCCCTCTGTCTTCCTTCCATCCTTTCTTCCTTCTTGCGATCTGGGAGCTGAAAGGAGCGTTAGAACGACTCTTTAATTGCCCCTGACAGACTCGCTACTGAGCCCTCTCCGATCTCCTTCCATCCTATTCCAGACTGATGACCCGCCCCCCTCCCTCTGCCCGTCTCGCACTAGTTTACAGCCTGCGTTCTAAAACACGCATTCCACAACGCCTCCTTAGCACCCTCACCGCTCCTCCCCTCCTCCCGATCTGGGAAAACTTCTCAGATTCTGGCACCAGCCCCTGTTACTGACACAAATAAATGACTGGCACGTGCCCTGCCCCCCCACACCAATATTTATATTTATATATTTTCTTAATTTATTATTTACTCATTTAGAGACAGGGTCTCACTGTCGCCCAGGCTGCAGTGCAGCAGTCTGATCAAGGCTCACAGCAGCCTCCAACTCCTGGGCCTCCCAAAGTGTTGGGATTACAGCCTGAGCCACCATGACTGGCCTCCAAATATTTTTAACAAGATAAACTTACTCTGGTACACTCCACCACCATTAAACTTTAAGCATGTCTAATGCTAAAAAGGACAGTCGAAAGCCCTTATATGATTGTGTCTATGAGAATGAAGATGAAGCAGGGAAATAATGTGTGGACTTAAAAAGCTGTTCCATTGTCCTTTTCTTGATTTCTACATATTGGAGCTAGCCTAGAATTGACTTGTCTTCCCAAGAGAGAATCCATGAAACCATTTCTTTTTTTTTTTTTCTTTTTTCAACTTTTTCTTTCTTTTTTTTTTTT